AGGGGTTTCACTGGGCACCACGTTGACCTTTCCTACCTGGGAGACCAGACACATGGTACAAATAAGTGATTTTAGTCAAAGACAATAAACCCGTATTCTCCTGAGAACAGAAGGCATTTCTGTTCCACTCTTTTCCATCCATGTGTTTAACCACTCTTTCCACCCAGATTCTCTCTGCACTAAGCACAGATCCGAGGAAAGTACACTCCTGATTGTACCGGTATCTTCACACTGACATTGTCATTGAGTTTAAATCAATCTTACTGAATAGAATTACGTATAAATAACACACGTTCATCGTAAGTACGAGGTTGGCTCCATGGTGACTGACACATAATCTCTGTGACTAGGTCCCTGTCACAGCATCTACAGCTTTCACTCCATTCTTCCCAGAATTTCCAGCCGATTTGCCCTTTGTGCTCTGAGGTCAGGGCCACACGCACTCACATGGCAGGGCTCCTGCAGACTCGTGTCTGTGCTGGGAGGACAGAGCCGAGGAGGGAATCTCTGGCCAGTGTGTGGACAACTGTTGCTTCAAGCAGGAAGAAAGAGTGATGGGTGACAAAGAGGCTCCGTGTGTAACCCTCTAAGAATGCACGTGTCAGCCTCTACCCACAACCTGGAGAGAAGAGCTCCCCATGTCCTCAGTGCTGTGCGGTGCTCAGGGAAGGAGAACTCTGGAAATCCGGGAGAAGGCACATAAGAGGAAAGTCCCAGCATCCTGCACAGAAGTGACCCTTTGTCCATGGGGACCCATCACTGCTCTGGACTGGATCATGATCTAGAAGAGTTTGTGTAGAGACACCACCACCTCAGTCCTGATGCAGGAGCAGAGAAGGAAGCCATGGACAGACTCATTCTAAAGACTCTTAGCAGGGCCTATAGTGAGTCTTGACTTGGTGGGAGGTGACATATAGGGACATCTGCTCAGGCCCAAATGCAGGCAAGAGTGTCAAAACAATTTGGCGGGGTGTGGACATGTGTCTGATGGGCTCTGGCCACCATGTCACTCAATGATGTGTCTGGGTCTGGACACCAGGGGGCACTCTGGTTCCATTTCTGAGGAGTCAGGGGCGATCAGAGCTGGGCCCTGCCACCTGGCCCTGCCTGTGCCCTCTGCTCAGGGCTCACAGCTGGGACCTCCCCACTCCTGGCCCCACACGGCCCCTCCCCTGCCCAACCCCCTGACATGCTGAAGCAGAGGACTGACCCAGGACCAGGGAGGGGTCAGAGAGCTGGGGTCTCATTTGCATGGCCAGGCCCTCCCTCTCTCAGAGGATGAAGAGGGGAAGGGAGAGATGAGGGGAGGCTCTGCACAGCTGTGGGGCCACAGAAGGCGGGATCGGAGATGACCTCCACCATGGCCTGGTCCCCGCTCCTCCTCAGCCTCCTCGCTCACTGCACAGGTGACTGGATGCAGGGACAGGGGAAGGGGCCCTGGGAGGACTTGTGGGGCCCTGCTTCCTCCTCTTGTCTCTAGACCCCAACATCATCCTGTGTGTGTCTCTCCCCCTTGCAGGGTCCTGGGCCCAGTCTGTGCTGACTCAGCCGGCTTCCGTGTCTAAGGCCCTGAATCAGACGGTCACCATCTCCTGCACTGGAAGCAGCTCCAACATTGGTAGTAATTCTGTGAGCTGGTACCAACAGGAAAAGCCAGGAAAAGCCCCCAGAGCCATCATCTATGGTAATAGCAATCGACCCTCAGGGGTCCTGGATCGATTCTCTGGCTCCAAGACTGGCAGCTCAGCCACCCTGACCATCACTGGGCTCCAGGCGGAGGACGAAGCTGAGTATTACTGTGCATCGTGGGATGATAGTCTCAGTGCTCACACAGTGCTCCCGGCCTGTGGGGAAGTGAGACAAAAACCTGCTGTCCCTCAGCAACGGGTCTCCCTGTGCTGCTCCCCCTCCTTGGCCAAGTCAGCTCCTTCCTTTGTTTGGTCTAAACTGTAGTCTGAACTAATCTCAAGGAATATTGGCTACAAAATATTCCAAATACTCTTAAATTTAGCCCCTCCAGGCTCTCCTTAGCAGGAAGACATTGTTCGGTTTTCTCATATTGAGGAGAAACTCCTGGGTGCCAGGGGCAGGCTGCCCAGGTAACAGAGTCAGCTGATGAGGGAAACAAAGGCAGGAGAAATGTCGCTTAAAGTCAATCTCCTCCAGTTGCAGCCCCTGACAGACACCTGACCCATGCGGAGTGTGACCTTCCTCAAGGATGTCATGGGCGCCTTAGTGCCCCCATGTGTGTGTTTTATTAAAGACTGAAGTAAGCTCTTCTTCACAGCAGCTAGCCCCTCGATTCCTGAAAACCTGGCTTCCATATTCCTTAGAGACTTACGCTATCCCTCCCCTGCACTAATTATAAAGTATATAATCAGTCACTGCTCACAATCCCAGTGAGCTTTCTGCCCATGGGTCCTGTCCCCGGGCTATAGTAAAATCATCTTTTTTCAACATTCAATGTCTCAAGAATTCCTTTTTGACTATTGGGCTACAAAATCCCATATCATGGTGACAGGTCAAGATAGAACCAGAGACAGGGAGTCCCCCTGTGTCCCACTGCGGATAGAGCCCTGTTCAGATAGTTTGCATTCACTCCACTTACTGAGCGCCTACCATGTTAGTCTAGGGATGTGGGCCATATGTGGACATGACAGGAAGGGTGTGCAGGCTCAGGGAGCTGACAGTGTGTGGGGGAAGAGAGAGGACACAAGCTAAACATGTTGTCAGGGAAAGCTGTGCTCAGGATAATGAGGAGGGGTGGGGTTGGGGGGGTGGAGCCGGAGCATTGGAGGGGTGCACAGGGAACTCCAGAATCTTCTGTGTCATCATGACATCCATGTGCTGCACAGACAATGAGGGAACTGGAGGGAGCATGTAGGTGGGATGTGGCAGGGGCTGTGGACTCTGTCCCAGTCAGACGAGGAGTTCTGGACAAGGGGTTGATGGGGCGGCAAGTAAGAGTCCTCCTGACCTGGGGGAAGCAGGGACTGAGAATGGGAGTGGGGAGGAGTGGGTAGAGGTGGGGGGGGCTTGGGGGCAGTGGGTGGAGGGGGTTCCACCAGCTGGGGCAGGATGAGAGCCCATCTCTGATGCAGGATGAGTTACACCTCATGTTTCCAGGAGATAGGATCAGCCCCTGACCCAGGGGCCTGTTCGTCAGGAGTCCTAGAGACGCACGTACCTACTTACTCTTGTCGGACCCTTGATGAAACCTCACCTGTGCCTGTTGTTGGGGAGGAAGTATTTCCTGTGCTTTTCACGGTCCATTTGGCTGAATCGGATTCACATTGACATTTGGTGGATTAACAGGTCAAAATCAGAATTAATAGCCTACATAACGTGAATCCACACAGACGTGGAGAATTCCAAGGACCGTCAGGCAACATGACCCTCATATGAGTGAAGGAGGGGGGCGGGGCCTGAGGATCAAAGAGGAGGAAGAGCAGGAGCAGGACGGAGAGGGGACATGTTTGCAGACAAAGGTCGTCCTGCGCTGTAGCCACATGTCTTAGGTACAGAGGACACCCTGCTACTGGCTCTCTTCCTGGTACCAGCAGGCAGTTTTGGGGGAGGTACGGAGCTTTTCCTAAATCTGGTGAGTTTCATTTCCTTTTAACAAAATAATGTTTACACCAAAGTGGCCCATCTTGGGGCAGCCTAGTCTTGGCCAGGTCCCTCCCTCCTCTGAAACTCCCCAAAGTTACACATGTCCAAAGTGGGGCTAGACGATCGTTCAGTTTGGTTGACACACTCCTGACAATAAGCCAGTTTAGTTTAACTTATTGCAGGAGGGGGTGAAGCAGGTGTGTTCTCAAAGTAAGGCCTGGGGTTCTAGAAATCAGGTATTAAAGAAGAGGCATTTCTATGGAAACAAACCAAATGATGGTTTTGAAGGGATCAGGTGTGGAGAAAAAATAAATAGTTTCATTTGTTCACCAAGGTATATTTGTTTAAGTTCTTATAGATCAGTTAACCTAAGAGAAGTTTCCTTAAATCTGAAGGAACAAAACATTTTTAAAAGTGAACAATGTTTCAAACAAAAAGTCATAAAAATTATAATTATTTTCCTCTGGACATTCAGTTTCATGTTATTCATTTTTTGTTCTGTTTGAATCCAGTTCTTCTATTAGTTCCTGCAATTTTTACCTTAGTTTTACTCTCTTAAAGGTATCAGAAACCTACATATTTTCAAAGTTCTGCCCATAACTATCCTTGAAGATGTAACACATTTGCAGTTGCATCAGAGTAAGGTGGGAACTGTACGTGACAATACATGATAGTCACCATGCTTCGGTTGGCTTAGAGGTCATTAAGATTCAATTGACAAGGAAATGTGTTATTCCCGTGACATGGAACACAAACATCTATGAAACACAAACACAGAAAGTTACATCATTGTAAGCAAAATGTAGGATTTTTTAAAATATTAAAAATATATGTTTTGATGCATCAAATCCTGATAAACATAGGAAATATTTTGGTAAAAGAGAGTGCATGTTTTCCAAGCAGATAATTTTAAAGGTGAGAAAATTCTTTTGTTTAACCTTCTTTTTTCTAAAAGTAGCCCAATAATTCAAGAAAATTTTTACTTTTTAACCAAGTTAAAACAGAATTCTAATTTTGCATCCACATAGTTTGATATTAAAGCTCACTTACTTAAATTTATCTTAATTTTAACAAGTATTGACCACACATATAATTCCTTTCTAGGTTCCTTTCCCAAAAACCTACAACGTTCTCCTATTGTGTCTAGACCCCAGCATCACCCTCTCTGTGTCTCTTTCCCTTGCAGGGTGCTGGGCCCTGTCTGTGCTGAGTCAGCCACCCTCCGAGTCTGGGTCCTGGGCCAGAGGGTCACCATCTACTGCACTGGAAGCAGCTCCAACCCCAGGGGTTATGCTCTTTAGTACCATTTTAGTGCCAACAGCTCTGAGGAGCAGCCCCTCAAACTCCTCTTCTATGCTCACAATAATCAATCTTTGGGGGTCCCCAATCAGTTCTCTGGCTCCAGGTCTGGCAACTCAGTGTCCCTGACCATCGCTGGGCTTCAGGCTGAGGACAAGGCTGATTACTCCTGCCCACCCTATGACAGTGGACTCCATGCTCACATCGTGCTCCCGGGCTGTGGGGAAGCAACACAGACGTGCTGTCCCCACAGCAATGGGGCTCCCCGTGCACCCCTATTTCCTGGCCAAGCAACTACTTGCTTTCTTTCTTTGGTACAACCTGGGGCCTGAGATCCATCTGAGGGAATTTGTCCATGAATTCATTTCACATTCTTTTAAATTTGTCCCTGAACCCTGTCCTTGACATCCACAGATTCTGTCATTTTCTCAAATTGAGCAAAAAGTTCTGGGTACCATGGCAGGATGGCTGGTGGACAGAGTCCATCATGAGTTGGGGAAGAACCGGCAAAACACAGTCTAGCTACGTGTGAGTCCCGACATGTCGGGAGTGTCCTATATGTGTCCTTTACCAACAGCTCCCATGTATGGGGTCCCAAATCCGCAGCTATTATGATGTGAGTCCCTCTGGGGACCCTGATCCTTTCTTTGCTTCCATGTCTTACAGCTCTGGCTCCGTGACCATCACTGGGCTGAGGTCTAAGCACATTCTGCTCCTCACTGCCTCTCCTGGGACAGCATCTCAGGCTCACACAGACTCCAGGCCTGTGGAAATTAGGACCAGAGCCCCTTTCTCATCGGCCAGGAGGGGGAGGCCCAGCGGCTGCTCAGGCTCTTCCCGTGGCTTCTGCTTCTGGTGCTTCTGCGGCCATCATGGGGCCAAGTCCATGCAAGGGCATCTCCTGGGGGTGAGGGCTCCTCCTTGCCTCCTGTCCCCACCTTCACTCACAGCAGCCTCTCATTAGACAAAGGGTCTCCCAAGGACACAGAAGGGTCATCTCCCCCATCTGGTTGGGACACAGGGTCTCTACACTAAGGTTCATGGACTGGGGGTGTCAGGTCCAGGGTGAGCATCTCCTCCCTGAACTGTGAGGAATCTGGGGTCTGCATTCTTGATCATTTACCTATTTCTACAAGTTTCCAGACCCATGTAATCCTATTAGTCTTCCATAGGAATGTCTGTTCTTTGTGCTCATTGGGCTGATTTCTTTGTCCCTGCTGCACCAACAGGGGAATATTGAGGAATCATATTTTCGAGTCTTTTAGGATGACTCCCTTTTTATTCCCATCAATGCTGAGAGCTAACCAGTGATTTTTCTTGTTCACTTATATTGTCTATTACTTGCAGAAAAGATGTTGAAGAATAATGGAGTTAAGGCGACTTATGTCTGTTCCTGATCTTGTAGAAAGGTCCTCCCCCCTCACCACAGTAGCTAACATCCTGTCTGGGGCACTGAGTTCTAGGTCTGTGGGAGAGAGTGTGTTACCATGGTACAAATGTGTCTGTCTGTTTCTATTTTATGTAGTTTTTGTTAGGACTTTGCTTTCCATTTGCTCAAAGAGTCTGTCAAGATCTAGTGAGATAATGTGATTTTCATCTATTGTTTTATTGATAGAATATCTTACATAAAATAATTTTTACTGTGGAATTCAACTAGTATGCTTGCAGTAAATCACATATGGTCATGGTGTATGAACATATGGATGTGAGCTTGGAGTCACACTGTTCATATTGTATTTAAATTATAGGTAAAATATGTCTTAATACTGTCCTGCAAATTTCCTTTTCCTGTATAATATTTTTCAGGTGTCTGTATGAGTATTACTTTTTCTTTCTATAAGAATTTAAATTTTCTGGGCACATCTGGCTGGCTTAGTCAGTTGAGCATGCAACTCTAGATCTCAGAGTCGTGAGTTCAAGCCCCACATTGACCATGGATCCCACTTAAAAGTTTTAAAAAAAAGAATTTAAATTTTCCATTGTTTTTTAGTGCTTTTCAAAAACATATATATGAAGCCAACAAATAAAATTTTCTGCTCTCT